TGGACATAGCACGAAACATAACAAGCTGCATACGGACAGCACAACATTTAAGTATTGCTTCGTTAACCACTACAGGACTCAAATCCCTGCCAGAGAAGACTGGGAAAAAGGGGCCACCAATTAAGGCAGAAATATCCTGGTATGCTAATGGCGCAAAAACTCAAAAAGGAGTAGGAGCAGCAATATATGAACCCAGGACGAAAAGGAAAATCTCTATTCCAATGGGTAAGCTAGCAACAGTGTTCCAAGCAGAGATCACTGCACTAGAACACTGTGTAACAAATCAATTGCAATTTACACCGATAGTCAACCGGCTATAAAGGCCCTGCAATCTAATAAAATAACATCCAAGTTCGTTCTGAACTGCCATAAGGCATTAAACGAGATAGCAAGCCAGAACAAAGTTACTCTATCATGGGTACCGGGGCACGGAGGGCATAAAGGTAATGAAGGCGCAGACGACGTAGCCCGCGAAGGGTCGTCAATGCGCCTGATTGGACCAGAACCCTTTTGTGGGATGGCCAAACCCGTTGCAAAAACAGCCGTCAGGGATTGGATGGACCGAGAATCCCGACGATGGTGGAGGGACATGCCGGGGCAAAGACAGGCCTAAGGGGCACATCGGCCAATTTTACCGCGGACCTACTAAGCTACAATAGAAAAGCCGTAAGAATAATGGTAGGTCTGCTGACGGGCCACTGCAGGCTTAAGAGGCATCTAAGCCTGATGGAAGTGGAAGAAAACACAGAATGTAGATTCTGTCAGGAAGAGGAGGAAACAGCCGCACACGTACTGTGCCACTGCGAAGGCCTAGCGAGACTGCGTTTTCATCTGCTGGGCGATACCAAACCAGAGACAGAGAGCTATACGAGGGAGCCATTGTCGAAGTTGTAGAGTCTGGTTAGAGAGACGAACTTGGATAAAGCCGTATAGCTATGGAGAGAGTCACAATAGATCCTCTGGGTCGCAATGACGGACAGGCTGATTGCTAGCTCTCCCAACTGTTAATCTAATCTAATCTACTCTAATCTAATCCCACTTTCCCGGTCACCCGGTATATATGAAAATATTACTAGATTTGCGACGAATTGAAATAATAAACGCGGTCTAAATATCGGCGTCTTTCGACCTACATCGGCTGCGATCGACCACAACCAATTAATTTCCTAGTGGCCCGCTTATTAGAAACGCATAAAATTCGTCTTAATCGGTTTTCGATTCGGAGGGGCCGAAACGTCAACATAATATTGAAATATCGCGTTAATGCGTCGTTATCTGTGTCGCTCACGGTATTAATTTTCGAACGGACGAGCTTTTTTGCTTCATTATCTACGGGCGACGACGAAACGGTAGTCCGTACCCGGCGTCGTTTTATCTCCCGGATTAAATCCTTAATAGAAAATGGATTTTTAATGTCGCCGTCTAGTAAATATGACAAGTTTTTAAATGCCAACACCGCAGGTAATCGGAAAGCAACTCGCTCCCGTATACGCGACGACCGGAGTCTCCGGTCCGACCTTGGCCCCCGGAGTTTCGGAGCCCTCTATGATTTTCTTCCGATTGTTAACCCCGTCGTTCTCTTCTCAGCAACCGACGACTCGTTGCCGCGCAGGTATGCGAAATGGGCGTGCTCGGACGTACCATCTGATCGCGGGAACCACCTGGGGACAGCACGAGTTGCTGCGGCCGTGGGCCCCCCGAGCGCTAATAGGGAGTTCTCTCGTCGCCACGCAAACCCGTTGCAACTTTAACGGGGGCGTAGAGGTTTTTGTATAGTCGTCCCGGAGTTATGAGAGAGTAAAGGAAACGGCTCAATTTATAATTGGGCGTCCCTAGCTCCATACGAAAAAAAATATCCTAAATAAATATGACTAACCCACGTGGTTCGAAAATAAAGACTGCCGATCTGGTGAATGGTTATGGAGAAAAACATGTTTTTCCGGAAGAGAAAATTACCGAAAAAAAAAATTCAAAAATTAAAAATAAATATTTTAAATGTGGTCAAAATCTTGACTGGAACCTTCGACACTGTACTAACACACAATAACGCGTTTTACCACCAACCGAAACTCAATTTTACATACTCGACGCGCGTTTCGCCAACCAAGTTCGCATCTTCAGGAGAAGATAAAACTAAACTTAATAACAAATGCTCTCTATATATATACATACACATCGAGAAGTGGGAGAGGGGATTACGCACTGTTCACGCAACCAATCAGCGCATATAATGGGCTAAATGGGATTGGACCTCTGTCCTTGTTCAGTACCTTATTCCCTCTCTTAACAATTTCTAAGCTTTCGTAGGCATCTAATTTTCTACTACTATTTACATGTTTGACTAATTTTAAATTACTTATATCTACCTTATGATTATTGTTGAACATATGGTCGGATACACTTGATTTTTCTAATCTACCAAATTTTAAATGACCTAAGTGTTCCTTAAATGTAACATTAATTGATCTTTTGGTTTGCCCTACATATGACTCGTCACAATCGTTACAACATATTTCATAAATTCTCGACTTTTCAAGGGTATCTAGTTTATCCTTGGGATTACCCAATAGATTTTTTAATTTTGATCCGGACTGATAGACACTTCGAAGACCTGCGACCCTGAAGACTCTATCAAGTCCACTTGTATATTGGGGAGAGAAGGGAATTGAGACTATTTTTAAATTTTCCTTATCAGCTTGAAAAGTCGTTGATTTTTGAAGTTTGTTCTTAAATCTAAATTTCCTAATTAACTTATCTTCATAGCCATTGATTCTAGCCACCTTTTTTATAAGGCTTCTTTCCACCTCAAGTCTTTGTTGTTTTAAAGGAAATGTGACAAGTCTGTGGACTAGAAAATTAAAACTTGCCATTTTAGGTTGAAAAGCATGATTAGAATCATTGGTTATGTATCTTAAAATACTAGTGTCTTTCCTATAAATGTCAAAAACTAAATGATTTTCACTGTTTTTGATAACGAGAACGTCCAAAAAAGGCAACTGCATGTTACTGTCTATTTCATATGTGAATTTAATAGATGGGAAGTAATTATTCAAATTTGAAACAAAGTCATTTAAATCCATGCAAGTTGTATCAAAAACCGCGAAAACATCGTCGACGTATCTATACCATATCCTAGGAAAGTACTCGAAATTTTCTTTGGCATTCTGTTCAAAATGATGCATGAAACGTTCAGCCAGGAAATGAGATAAGCAATTTCCCATGGCCGTGCCATTTTGTTGTTCATAATAGTTGTTATTATATAGAAAAATATTTCGACTCATGCAAAGCTTTGTCAGAGTGGTTAGCTCTTCAATTATATCTTTACTGTAGTTATTATATTCGAGTAATTTCCTGAGGTATTCCAAAGTTTCTGGTATAGGAACGCTTGGAAATAATGAGGAAACATCAAAAGATACTAAAAGTTCATGTATTTGAAACGCAGTCCTTTAGTTACCATTACCGTTATTTTTCAGTTTTTTTAATTTACGGCGCATCCTGTACATTTTTGAAAGATTGTCAAAAACAAAAGTTTATGCAGCCAAATCTTCTACTTGTTTTCGTTCCAGAATTTTTTCTATTCCGTAAATAGTTTTCGAGAAATGATTTTTCCCTTAGACCCTTGCAGTCGCATTTTTTTTTTAAATACTTCCCGAATGCGAAAAAAACGAGGTAACCACTCACGGGCACCTTATCACGCTTTCTCTTTGGCATAATAATAATACTGCCCTCTTTTTTTTTTTCAAAAACTTCCACAGGCTACTGTAATACTTTTTACAAAACTTCTGGATTTCTCCTGCGTCGGTTTTTGGCTGAGCCGAACTTGCTGACGTTTCGCCAATCATCCTAATCATAATAATAATAATATTGAAAATCAACATCAACTAGCAGATAATGCTCATTTAGGAAGGCACAATCAACTTGTAAAAATCATTTTGTCCAAAGATACCCCTGCATTTACAAATATGAACCAAAATCAATTCTCGAAAATAGGTCACATCTGCTATACTGGGATCGTCCGGTATCAGCAGATATAAGGGTCGCTGACAACAGACCAGATATTCTCCTCATTAATAAACTGAAAAAAAAGAGGCAATCATTGATATTGGCATACCGTTGACCCGCAATTTGAAATCTAGTGAAGCTGAGAAAGTTCGAAAATATGAAGACCTGGCTATCCAGCTAGACCAAATCTGGCGTCTTAACGAAGTAAGCATATGTCCATTGGTTATGCCAATGGAGGAAATTGTTACAGAAAAAACCCTGGATAAACTAGACATGCAACATCTTTGAAGCATCAGAAGAAGGTATAATACCAAGCTCACCAATACCTGCAAAGCAGAGAAATCTAAGACCGATAATAATATTAATAATAATAACAATCTTTATTGTCTAACAGATTAACATCTATTTAGAAGACAACACCAAGAAGCAATAATCTCCAAATCATTCTGCAGAGACACACAATCAGCCACACTATCAATTAGTATACTGTTATGCAAAGATTACTTTATGAATGCGACAAGATCGTCACAAAATCCAAGCATATGGCTTCTCCTTTAAACCTTCATGAACATCCCTTTCAACTATTAATGGGAATCCGAACCATCTCCCTGAAAGCCTTAGAAACAAAAAAAATTGTATGAATGTTCTCTACTTATGGAAAACATGAAAATAATTTCAGAGCTTTTTCTAAGGGCGCTTTATTATGTCTATTTGAGGTATTATAAAGATATGGTAAATATATGAAATTAATAATTTTATGATACAAACTACATAGAGCCAACCAGTTTCTCTAATTTTCTTGTTCCGTGTATTGCTCGGAGTTTTGCATTTTTATTTATTGATACTATCTCAATAGTATCGTGACTCCTTCCATAGCGATCAGATGTTCAGCCTGACTCTTATCTAAACTAACAAAACCAAAAACTAGCGGCAAGGACGTCGACAAAGCAAACTGCGTATCTAGAGGCCCTGGCAATAAACTAGGATCATTGTTGCAGGTTTTAGGGGGCCCAACTGCGAAGAAAATATCGACGACTGTCCGGGACACCAGTGCCAAAACGGAGCGACCTGTATCGACGGCGTCAACTCTTACACGTGCCAATGTCCGTCCACCTACACCGGCCATTACTGCGAACAGGTGAGTAAACCGCTGGGGTTCGAATCTGTATGATCCCAACGTACCTATTCGCGGGGCAGGACGTCGACGAGTGTTCCCTGCGGCCGTCAGTATGCCAAAATGGCGCCACGTGCACCAACAGCGTCGGCGGTTTCTCCTGTATCTGCGTCAACGGCTGGACCGGACCCGACTGCTCCGTAAACATCGACGACTGCGCAGGAGCCGCCTGTTTCAACGGCGCCACCTGTATCGACAGGGTCGGTAGTTTTTACTGCCGATGTACCCCGGGAAAAACCGGTAAGTCTTACCGTTACCCGTTTGTGGGTTAGTTGACAATTTTACCGTTAATCTTAATTTCGTCGGCGGATAAAAACTTCAATCGCAAAAAAAAAAAATAATAGCCGAATTTGAATGGGGGCCCGTTGCGACTAATCGGACGGTATCTGCCTAATTTAAATTGCCATTTAACCGTCTTTGTAGTCGTCCGATTCGACGAGGAGGAAAAAATATCCCAATTTGGTTTTCGATGTGAAGTAAATCGAGCGTACCGGAAAACGCGTGAGAATTGTGATATCTTTGCTTTGGTGACCCGCTTATGGTTAGTGCAGCTGCTCGAACAGCAGACGGCTGCAGGAAATTGACGTTTAATGTCACTCTGGTGACTGGGTCATAGTCTAAAGGGTGTCGGCTAAGACAACGTGACATTTTTAGTTACCAAAGTCAGTGAACTCTGACAACTGAAAATTGGTAGTTACTGGGTACGATTATAGTAACCGTTACACCCTAAAAGAAGAGTTTTTGCGAGGAAACACTATAGAATCATACTTATTTGTACATTTTTAGGCCTTTGCATAAAACCAGGGGTAAAATGGGATGCTTAAAACTTCTACAAGGTGTTATTTTTTTGGATAATTCTATGGATTTGGCCGAAAAATTTTATAAATACCAATAACAAATTTTTTAATCTATAGAAAAATGGTTTTATATAAATAATTATAATTATTAAAATTTAGTTAAAGTTAGTCAAAAATAAATCGATTTGATGGTTAAAAGCCACAAAACATAATAAAAAGCAGAGGCGGAGCTAAGTGAGGGACATAAACACCGTCTTCGATGACTGATTCCCATATTGGTGACATTTAGGGACAATATAAAAGCAGATATAGAGTAAAATACGAGCCAGTTTCAGTCAAGCTCTGAAGAAGCCAATACGATTGGCGAAACGTTAGCAGAAGTTTTATAAGTATTACAATAGCCCGTGGAAGTTTTTTTTTGTAAAAAATTTACCTAATTTTATAAGTTCCTAAAAAAATTTATACATTTCATTTCTCATGTTTTCATATAACTGTAATTAGAAATTATTTACATATTGCACGTTATTGGGGACTTATTACATGATCTGATTTTATTTTTATAAAGAAATCAATACTCAGCTAGTTATTTTACAAATATTGTTACATAAATAAAAAATAAAAATTACGTTTTTTGAAATAATACTGAAAAATACGTAGTGCTTTGTTCTGACTAATATTTTTTGTTTAAACGTTAGAAGAAAATTCTTAAATACTTATTTAAAATTTCCAAGTAGAACACCATAAATTTTATTTTTTCCGAATATTTAAAGAAAATGTTGTAATAATAATGTTTGTTTTATTATTATTATTTTTTTACTATTTTGTTTATGTGAATCTTATTTTATATTGGGCGGTTGGGCCGTTGACAAATTAATAAATAAATAAAAAAATAAATGATTTCGGTAAGAGTTGTGTCTTGGGTGTGTTGGAAAACAGTATGCAATATGATATTAAATCAAAGTAACAAAAATCTTAGTGGGGTCGGAATTGTCCTATACATCAGTAATCTTAAGCCTCGCATAAGACACTGCGTAAGATGATGTGGTCATGGCAATACTTTGATAAAGGAAAGTACAAACACTGCAAACTGAGGTCACAGCCCCAATATAAATTTTTATAAATTCAGAAACGATTAACTTTGGAGCAACCTAAATTTGCATACAATACAAATAATACATAATAAGCTATTTGATTCATGTATGCAAACCTACAATGGACTGCTTGAAATGAAAATGAAAATTATATCAAATTTTATGTTTCAGACTAAGGTCTGAAAAAAACTGTCATGGAAGTGTCAGTAATTCTGGACAGTGGACTTTTGAATATGTGTTTAAAAAAATGGGAGTTGGGAATTTTTCAAAAACGCAAATGGTCAACGGTATAATTTGAACCAAACTCTACCTTGATCAATGGTGGCGACCGTCGTGGTGATTAAAGTAACTTGTCGCCACTATGGCGGGTCGTTACACACGCAGAATCCCGATCCTCGTTGAAGCAGAGAAGGGAGGGAAAATTAAAAATCGACTGACAACCTCAAAACTACATAAATAAATCGAATACCCGGATAATGTTATGGTACGGGTTATGCAAATAAGTAATTAAACGTACTTATAAACAAGCGCGGCGCATTTTTCACAGCAATTACCGGCGTGTATACCGGTCATATTTTTCAGACTTAACATGTCGGACCTGTTCTGTCTTGCTGCTTTCTCGGCGAGCAGCGACGACGATCTAGATCGATAGCGATTCGTTAATTAGCCTCAGAAAAAAAAACGCAGAGCAAAGCCCAAAATTGAGGCCGTACCCATAATTAATTAATACATTTATTAATTAATACTTATTCTACCTAAACGATGCCTGCAAGTCTGCAGCTAATATAATGTATATTTTATTTAATAAGTCGATAATCACGACTTGTCAATTTCGATACTCACTAAATTCTTTATCAGCAGTTACGGGCGACAAGATGCTATGCACATCGAAGTCTACAAAGTCACTACGCAGCTTTGTATTTTAAAGGCTTTTTGTCCTAGAGAAACGTAATTTTATTGTGCAAAGCGCCTTTCGCGTCTTGCCGAAATACAAAGCCGCGGCAAAATTTGGTGAATACAAAAAATTGTACGAATAATAGCGATTTCGACTATCTTCCACGAAAACTGCAATTTTCAGGATCTTTTAATTTTTTTTTACCAGCAATCGACACACCACCTAGATAATCCAAAAAATGTCCGAAGTAATAGCCTTGGATCTCCCACGTTTCCTGGTATATCAATTTTTCGAATAGAGTAAATGCTTTTCAAGAACATACTTGTGTTCTGAAACCGTGCAAAAGTGGTTGACGTCATCGCGTCTAGATTTTTTTCAAATATCTCGAGAAACGTGTGTGATACAGACGGGTAAAAAGTTACTAATATGACTTCGGCTGCAAATTGTTTTAACAATTTTTTCGTCGATTCAGCCAATAATTTGAAAAATATATTTTCACCTCATAAAAATACGAACTCGCTAGATGTAGGTCTTGTATTGAAGTCCATATTTATCTACAGAAGTTAGTAATATAATGTTGTCTGTCACTAAGAAATATTGTAGGACCGATTATAGAGCTAGAGCACTCCTATCCGTTTTTTCAAAAATCTTTCAAATTTTTTGGAAAGTCGAGACTTTTTTTCCGGCATACAATTTGGTTAGTTTATGTAAGCTGGTTAGAAGAAAGGCAGCAGACAGCATGGGTTTTGTTTGATCTACAAAGAGCATTTGTCTTGGTCGATGTTCATATTTTAGTGGACAAGCTTTGTTCATATGGTATTAAAGGTAACGCCTTAAGTTGGTTAAGGTCTTTTCATGGGGGTCGTAGGCAGTTGGTTAAATTGCGAGTTACCTTAGGTTTTGAATACGTCTCTCTGATTCCAGGTCAGTGAATTGTGGTGTACCTGTGGTGTGGTGTTTTCATCTTTTCCCCATACTTACTCTCCTCTTTTTGCGCCTGATGCGGTTTCTACCCTTTCTACAGCATCATCTGAGCAACTTAGCATTGCAACCAAAACAAGCAAATGAAACATTATGCAAAAATTAACAAGTTAATATTGAATGAAAGTAAAACTAAGATGATCGATTATTAGTACGCTTTAATGAAAGCACAATCCATCAGAAAAGAGTTGTAAAATTCCTCGGAGTTTATGTAGACTCGAGACTCTCCTGGTTCGAACAGGCGGACCACAATCTCAAAAAACTTTCTCTTTACTGCTTTGTCGTATGGAGGCTCCGCCATCAGGCTTCTTTCCCCTTGTTAAAAATGTACTATTTTTTGTATGTCTATTCCTGTCTCAACTACGCCTTGGTTTGTTGGGGAGGTTCGCCACGTGCGGAGCAAGTCTTTAGGATGCAGAAACGCATTTTACTCACTGTACTGTTTAAGCCCTGGAATTTTTCATGTCGGGACCTATGTCTACAACACTCTTTATTGACACTTCCTAGTATACTAACTAAATTGTACCACGTAAAAAGTAACTCTAATCTATGCTCTCAAGAAATTTATCATAAAAATACCTACACATCGACTGTCTCTTACAGCAAATAGTCCCTTTGTTTTGATTGTCGAATTTTTTAATAAATTGCCTATCGAACTGAAGGAGATAACTAGTCAAACAAGAAAATTCAAATGCACTCTTAAAGACAAATTGCTACGCCTGGCCTATTATAATATTAAGGATTTTCTTTCTTGTGATACCTTTTAATACGTATTCATTGTTTGGTATCCTTTATATGTTTGTTATTTATCTAACATTATTACTTATTTATATAATTTAATTTAATTAGTATTATATATTATTGTTATTATTATTATTAATTAATTAAATAATTATACTAATATAATTTTATATTTTTACATTCATATTATACTGACAATATGCAACACTTATCAAGACTTATGGAAATAAGGCTATCTTTATCTAAAACCGTAAATACAAAAATTGTAGGCCTCGATGCGGCCTTAATTACTGTACAGACCAAATAGCAATTTTTTTTCATATATACTCTGGAAAAAGGCAATTTTCAGGGTCTGTTTGATTTTGGTCCATAATTGAAAAACCCTATTATTAATCAAAAAAGTGCCCTAAAAAAAATCCCTATTATGTTAATACATTTTCGGAAAATATTTTTTTTCCAGAAGCCAAAATAACTCAGCTCAAACAAATGTTTCAAAATTTTTAAAAGAATACTTGGTGAAATTTAAATGCCCTCAATTTCTATTACATTTTTCAATATAGCACAGGATATCCCGAACACCCTGTACAATATGTGAAAACTTTAATACAAAAGTACTAAAACGTAGCTTTCTAGCAATGTCCAAAAAACAGCCGAAAATCGCAAAAAAAAGATGGTCGCCGGATTCCGATCGCGCTTATTTTTTATTGGCCTATGTGTCTAATGGACGGTTCAAAAGAAGCAAAATGTGAATGCCGTACGTCAAACTGTTCGAAAGTTGTGGCCATTTAATGCCGCGTCTACAGAGAAGCGGAGAACCGAGAACAGAGAAACGGACAGACAATAAAATCGAAACGATTTTTTTCGAGATATGAGTTTCGTTGCCAACCGTGTATATTTTCGAAAAATTCCGATTTCATCGATTTTTCTCAGGCAACAAGGTTCCTTCAAACTCCGTTCATTATCAGGTTCAGATTTGTAGACAAAAAAAAACTGAAAAACTTGCCAAGAACCAATCGAATAACCATCAATTATAAAAATTCAAAACACACAGGTTTCAGATAATCAGACAATATTCGTCTAATGTACACCTGATCCGAAAGGTTAGGTTTAATATCGGCTAGTAAGTATATTTTTGTTCGAGTGCTTAGGAAATTTAGTAACTTGATGGCGAGCAACGGATTTAGTTTTGGACGAAACATTATTATTATCCTTGTTTGTTAGAACAACAGAGTTAATTTCGTACCCAAATAGCGTTCTTACTTTATTATAGTTTTCGAAGAGTGTTATTTATTTAACATTAAAATTATAAGTAACATTTACCTGACCGAGCAACCTAATTAACTAAACTGCACTTGTCGTCGTTCCATTTTTTTTTGTTACGGGGACAGTATAAACAGCTTTTCCAAATTGTGGCGTATGTCTCCAGCTGACTTGTAAACCGTGTGCCAAATAAAACGACACACTATAAGATCTGGAAACCCATAGGAGATACGAAAAAAGTTTCTTGCAAAAGTTTCTTGGGCTCTCCTGAAGGTTTAAAATATTACGATTCTGTCGATACAGGGTGGCCCAAAAGTGTCCCATTCGACATAAACTTTGTTATTTTAAAAGGAAATCTTGTGATTTTGTTAATTAAATTCTCCAAAACGGCACCACCTATATGGGACACTCTGTATAAGCTGAGGCACATCATCAGCCGTCAATGGGGATTGATATTTAGAAAGACCATCCATATGCCAGTGTCCTCCAAGACGATCTTTTGTCTTCGCAGGTCTCCTCTGCCACTTGGACGACGCCTGCACGAGCAACCCCTGCCACGCGGACGCCATTTGCGACACGAGTCCGATCAACGGCTCGTACACTTGCAGCTGCGCCTCCGGCTACAAGGGCGTCGACTGCTCCGAAGATATAGACGAATGCGAACAAGGTAGGTGTCAAAATGATATCGCCACTGACTCGGTAGCTGCACGTTAGCGAATAATATTCGATCGACTTAAGCGATCTTTGTAATATTCAAGTTTTACTTCTTTGTTGCCTGCGTAAATATGTTGAAAGTCCTTTTTACAGTGCGATCTATAAAGGTCTACTGCCTATATCTTATTAACTATTAATAATAATAATAAACTGTATTTATTAAAAATCAAAATATTACAATAAAAGTTGTAATACAACGGTGGCGATATTCGCAAATTGCGCTCTTCCATGTAACCACAAGAACTAAGACAACAGCACCAACGCCACCATTATAAATATAAGAAATAGACGCACATCATAAATTCATACGCTTTTGCTAGATGGCTATTGGGTTGCCTAATAAACAATATTAACCGTTTTTTGAAGGACTTTATTGTGGAGAAGGTATTAAATATTTTAACTGGGTTTTCATGCGCAAAGTTTATCAAACAACGATGGAATATTCTGAAGTCGTTGGAGTCTCTCCTTATCGCGATTTAGTGTAGCTGGCCAATAGACGATACTGCAACAATTAAAGTGGGATGAAACTAACCTGAGAAAATGTTTATGAATATTCAATGGCCTGAACACCGATTAATATATAATAATAATAATATAATCCTAAATTTTGACAACCAGCCGAAGAAGTAGATAGAGACAATTTGATCATTTGACGTCATCTTAAAAAAGGCGTTTCTTACAATTTCTTTCCTTTTAGTTCAGAATAATAATGTGTTATTCAATAAGAGGTCATGAGCCGCAGAGACTTCCATAATTATTTTAGTAGCAGCATTTAAAGCTTCACTAACAACAAATTCTGATAAAACTGGAAGCACCTAATAAATATTCCATAGCTACCATGAAACCTCGACTGAAACGGACTTCAAAGATGGTTGCTGTTTTCACAGCTTCTTTCGATCTTCACTATATTAAAAGATTCAGTTCAATTATGTACATTATCTTGATTCTTCTTTGAAGAAACAAATAAAAAACTGAAAATTGAGGTGTGATTGCATTGTTGTTAGTTTAAGTTTTATGTCAGTTACGAAGGTTTTCGTAAATACCATTTTTCTGCTGCCGCCTGTAAAATACCTAATTACACACCGATCTAGCGTGCGTCAGTTTCATTTCCCACGAATCCGAGCCTCTTCGAACATTTCCGGATGTTTTCGGAGATATTTCCCACTCCTTGAATTTCGACGTTTGTCAATTCTGACGGTCATGTCAGTGAATGCATTCGGGTTATTTTGCGAAAATGTTCCCAAAAACTAATGGTCGTAGTATGCAACAAGTTTAACCACTTGCTCCGCTGCGCTCCGCTCGTGTCAAATAAACTCGTGAATCAAATGCTGTTTACCGCACTTGTTGCATAATATACTATTCTGTTACTTATAAAAATGAAATGACATAAATACCTTCATAAATAAGGAAAATAAGGAAGAATATCCCATTTAAGTGAAACGTGAAGACATAAAGGAAAGGTAAAATATAAAATTGATCGATAGATTCTTATTGGCAAGACATTTTTGGTAACAATGCTCTATTGCCGTTAACTTTAGAGTAATATATTGTAAAAAAGCAAAAGAACGTTATTTATTATTTATAAAGGTAATGCCACCTTCTTAAATTAAACTTTTACTTGATGAATTTCAATTTAACAAAATAAATAAGAACTAAAACTTCAGATTTTCACGAAATTATATATTTTCATACGACAATTGTTTCGACAACACCGTGTCTTTATCAAATGTAATACTTACAAACTACCGGCTACTATATATACCGAAAAATGACCATAAAACCTTAATTTATGTTGTTGTGATAATTTAAGTTTTATAAGAAGTATTTAAATCTAATTGATCGTTAAGCAATACATTTGAATATTTCATTTAGTTAATCTCCATGCTTTCCCACACAACACCACACCACACAAAATGCACTCTTCCATACACAGATTTAGTACTCCACTCTCAACAGAAAATTACAACAATGAACTTAATATCATTAAACAAATTGCACTGAACAGCGTCCATTATCGATAAAATTATAAATAAAAAACAAATCCAGACGACAGTAAACTCTATTTATCCGAACCCAGTGAAAACATTTCAAAATATTTGTCAACATGTGGTTTAAAAATAGCTAGCAGAACTAACAACACAAAAGAAAAATTTTTAAAAAACAGTAAAACGAAATGTCCAAAATCTCAAAAATCAGGTGTCTATAGCTTGAAATGCGGATCTTGTGCTAAAATTTATGTTGTACTAACAGGTAGATCCTTCAAGAAACGCATGAACGAACATAAAAGAGCGTTTAAAAATAATAGTCTAGATTCTAATTATACTACGCACTTAAACACAGAAAAACACATTTTTGACGACAATTTTGATATTTTACATACAGCCACAAAAAGTAGAAAATTAAATTAATTGGAAGCAATGGAGTTTAACAAAATGAGACATTCAAATGTAACGTTCAATTAGATTTAAATACCTCTCTCGCAACAACATTAATTTTGGTTTTATGGTCATTTTTCGGTATATTAATACCAGGTAATTTGTAAATATTACATATGATAAAGACACGAAATTGTCATGCGAAAATATATAATTTTATGAAAATCTGAACTTTTAGTTCTTATTTACTTTGATAAATGGATTTTCAACAAGTAAAAGCTGCCTCAGTTCAATCTTATTTATTTTGCCAACAAATTTTACATCCGGGACTAAAATTTGGTCCCCGTACCTTTTTAAGATTGAACGTTTAAGTGGCACGGTGATAATTATTCTTCGCGGACGATTGATATGTTTTGGTATGATAATATGTCTGTCGTTCTGTCCTGGAGGCGAATGCGCGTAATAATCTGCGCAAACAGCTGCCGGATCGCTATTTAGAGTATTAATGAGAATATTTATCGGCTCAGGGTTCCCGAGGATTGGCCCTGATCACTCGCAGTCATCAACGTCGGGCTGGTAATTTTTTTCCGAGCGGATTACCAAATACCGCACGGCGTCGAACTGTATCGAAAGCGCGTCAAAAGAAAATGACGGCATTTTACGTGAGAAGAATTCTTCCCGGTAAATTATTGAAATTTATGCACGGTTAGAAAGAAATCGAGGTTATTATCCGAAAATTCCCAAGTTCGATCGCGCTCAGAACCTTACTTAATCGTTATGCAAATACGCGAGGCGCGGAGAAAGACGGTGCGAGAGAAAAGAGCGAGGACGCTGGTAAATAAAAAATATGATCAGCCTTCCGGCGACCGCCATTAAACGAAAAATAATCGATTTTTTTCCGTTCTCGAATTCACACCGAACATAGGGCCGTGACTAGACGAGATCCGATATGGATCGGGTGTGCCGAATCGTCTGAACAAATAGAGAAGAGCGAGAACAATGGAACGAAGACAAAAAGCGGCGGCTCCGGCCGCCGGAATTTATGAATCTCGCGACCGGACTCGCACAGCGTCGCGCGCTCTTAGGTTTCACCCGACTCCACGCCCATGTACCGAGTGGTTTACTGTGGAATAAATATTTTATTATTATATACAGGGTATTTACCACGTATTCTGTGACCCAAAATAACGATAAAAGTTGATGCAAATCAGGATCCAAAACGTCTTAGTTTTTGACATACAGGGTGTTAAATTTGAAGAGGTGATGGAGACTTTTTGTAAATATTTCCGAAACACGTAAATAAAATTTGCTACAGTTACTAAACTTTTTAGGCTCTATTTAGCGAACTAAAACTTAGTTTGGACTGCAGAATTTGAAAACCTGAAGATTTCTACGTAAATAAATATTTTATTATTATATACAGTATAAAAGTTAATATAAAACGTCTTAGTTTTTAACATACATAAATAAATGTTAAACATGTTAAAAAGTAAGAGTTTTTGGACCCGAGTTTATATGAAATTTTATCCTTATTTTGGGTCACAGAACACGAGGTTAAAATATTGACGTCTAATTTTGGGACACCCTATATATGGGTGGAAAGAATACAGGCAATTCCCTAATCTCATTATGCTTTTATACCTGGAGGCGGCTGTATCGGTAACGTTTCTGTTTTATCGTCGCCGGTTCAACTCCAGCTTAGACTGCTACGGGCTAGCTGAGGAGTTGTTAGATCATGGGACTCTTAATCCAATACCTTTAACCAACTCGATAACGAAAACACTCTAGAAGTCAGTGTCGATTAGATGGTATTATTTATTATTGTAATTATTACAGATAAATAAGCTAAATCAGGTACTTCCTTTTAAAATAATTCCAACTTGCAAGTTGTCACATTTCTCGCATCCTAGCTTCCAACGCTTGCGATCATTCCAGTCATGTAGCCCTCCATCCACCATTGCACAGTATACTTACTGCTTCCACGGTTTTCTTGATCTACCTCTTTTTCTGCGATTGGTGGGGATCCATTGTAACAGTCGCTTCCAGGATATCAATATCTATACCCATTTGCTCTCTCATTTCAGTATTTCTCACCATGTCCCATCTAGTTAGCTGTCAGCATCTGTCAGCCATATATTGCAATACTTTCAATGACACTTTTATATATTCAAATTTTTGTGTTTCGAGTGATGTGGTTATTCCAAAGTATATTATTTAGTTGGTGTATTGCTGTATTACCTTGTACAATTCTAGTTGCTATTTATTTTGTATTATGGCCATTACTTGTTATTCGTACACCAAGGTATTTGTAACTATCAGCGTTTTTAATTTGAATGCCTCTTAATTCTAAATGTGGTCCTTCATTTCCCAGCATTACATACTCTGTTTTTGATGGGTTAATGGATTTTTCGCAATATGTAGTAAATATCTTCCTCATTTCCTGCAAATATTACTTGGTCATCTGCCAAATGAAGGCTATAAAGCTTATGATCCCCAATTGAAATACCCATTGGTTCATATTTTCTTTTCTAGATTTTCAAGGCTCCCTCCGAATAGATCTTAAAGAGCGCCGAAGTTC